CTTTGTTCCTGTCCCCCAAGGCTCTGTAACTGGTCCCTTTCTATTTTTTCTTTATACTGCCTCTCTTGGCAAACATATTACCTCATTTGGATTCCAATACCACCTGTACACTGATAACACTCAGATATACCTCTCCCCTGCCGTCCTGCAACGTGTCACTGCTTGGCTTTCTTCCATCTCTGACTGGATGTCCTCCCGCTTTCTGAAACTCAATCTCTCTAAAACTGAACTCCTTGTCTTTCCTCCTCCTAATACTGATCCTCCTCCTTCACTCTCCCTTCAAGTTAGTGGTACCCACATCAGTCCATCCTTGCAAGCGCTCTGTCTTGGCATTATACTTGATTCTGGCCTCACATTTGAGCCTCACATTCAGTCTGTTACCAAATCCTGTAGGTTCGATCATAAAAACATAGCCTGCATCTGCCCCTTTCTTACGCAAGATGCTACTAAGGATCTTGTTCATGCTCTAGCAATCTCTTGCATGAGTTATTGTAACTCTCTCCTAAAAGGTCTTCCCACAAGTCGTATTGCCCCACTACAGTCTGTAATGAATGCTGCAGCTAGACTGATTTTCCTCTCCTGTCACTCTTCTCACACCTCTCCCCTCTGTCAGTCCTTAGATTGGCTTCCTGTATCCTATAGGAGTCAATTCAAGGCACTAATCCACACCTATAAACACTGACTAATTCTAGCCCCTCCTACATCTCTTCACTGATCCGCAGGTATGCCGCTTCTCAGTCTCTCCACTCTGCCCATGACCTTCTCCTATCTGCTGCTCGCACCTGTATGGCCAACTCACGCTTGCAGGAGTTCTCGCGGGTGACTCCTTTCCTTTGGAATAGCGTGCCTATGACCATCAAGCTCTACCCTAGTCTTCAATCATTTAAAAAGCGCCTCCAAATCCATCTCTTTAGGAAAGCTTATGGCCTCCCAGAGTAACCTCTACCTCACGTACCGGTCCCTTGCTCTCTCTCCTAAAGGGCAGCACTCTATTCCCACCCCCAGCTGTTTCACTCCACCTTGTTTGATTGCTACCTCATGTCCTGTTGTGTTTTATGCCCCACCTCTTATAGACTGTAAGCTCGTTTGAGCAGGGCCCTCTTCAACCTATTGTTCCTGTAAGTTTTTGTAATTGTCTCATTTATTGTTAAATCTCCCCCTTTAATAAGAATGTAAGGCTCTACGGAATATGCTGATGCTATATAAATACCAGTAATAATAATAATAAAAAAGAAAAGTCATGTCAAGCAGGGACCACATGAACAATTGGACGGTGAACCTAGATAAGTTCCTCTTCTCTCTGGAGTGAAAGCTCGGTGCGAGACGGTACCAGTGGGTCGGCATCAGAGTTTCCCTTGTGTCTGGAGATGTGGAAGTCATCATAAGAAGAGGGATCAGGGGAGGGGAAGGAGGGTGGATGGGGAGGTTGGAGAGATGTAAGAACCAGGTCTCTTTCTTGGAGTTGGGGTGGGTGGGAGGTCATTTGAATCCGACCGTGTCACGCATCTCTTTAATAGCAGAGAACTGTCCGTTCCACTTCCCCAGAGCTAAGCAGTATGGAAGGGATGGTTACTGACTTATAGCATCGGTATTAGGTGGTTCTACAGGTGCTACATGCCTGTCCCAAATTACTTCTCTGTAACTGTGTGTGCATCACACTCTGCCTGTGTGTGACTGTAAGCCTGTGTGTGTAATTTTTCGTACAGGGCACCTAAAGGCCAAGGCCGGCCCTAGCTAACCTTACAGTCAATAGCTTTGCATGCTACTTTACCGACAAGATTGAACAGCTAAGGAAAGAATTCTCTCCACCTTGCCCCTCTATCTCTCAACCATACCTGGATCATTCCTTTCCTACCCTTCAGACATTCTCCCAGGCTACTGAACAAGAGGTGGCTGAACTTTTCAAAGTGCCTGGATGTCCCCAGTGCTTTCTCCTGTTTTTGAAGAAGCAGTTTATGGACCCCCAAGGTGGCAGCTGTGAGCACATCAGAGGCAGCAAAGGAGCTGTAATCCTCCTGCTCTGCTCCCTTGCTAGCCATGTACTAATGCTGGGAGCCAGAATATGACATCATACTCTGGAGCCTGCATCGGTAGAAATCCCACAAGGGAGCAGAGCAGGAGGATTACAGCTCCCTCGCCGCCTTTGATGTGCTCACACCTGCACGCCTCACAGCAGCCCCACTGGATCCCAGGTACAGATCCACTCCAGCTCTCTGAAAAGTAGTGAGGCTGGGTGGACAAATTAAAATAATAATATTAGTAATTTGTGAAGGTGTGTGAGAGAATGTGTGTGTGTTTGCCAGTGAATGTGTGTGTGTGTGTGTGTATGTCTGTCTGTCAGTGTATTTGTATGTGTCTGTTTGTGAGTGTCTATCACATCAGTGAGAGTCTGTGTCTGTCAGTGACGTCTGTGTTTTTTGTTACTGTCAGTGTGTATCTGCCAGTAGGTGTGTTTCTGTCAGTTAGTGTATCAGTGAATGTGTGTGTGTGTGTGTGTGTGTCAGTGAGTGTGTGTATGTCAGTGAGTGCATGGGTCTCAGAGAGTGTGTTCATGTCAGTGTGTGTCTGTCAGTGAACGTGTATGTTAGTTAAACAGTGTGTGAGACAATGACTGTCAGTGAGTGTGTATCAGTAAGGGCATGTTGTATGTTAGTCTGCCCATCCATACTATACCTTCCTACACCCTGCCCCCCACTGTCACCTTCCAACACACTGTCCCCCACACTGTCACCTTACTACACACTGCATCCGATACTGTCACCTTCCTACACACTGCTCTGCTATACTGTCACCTTCCTACATACTGTCCCTCCCCTTCACTTATAGTTGATCGCCATGAAGTCCAAATGAGAGGTTGTTATGTGATCAAATGTCAAGTTATTTATAGGAGTTAACTAGCGGCAAGTCAGAACTAAACTTTGCAGTTATGCCTTAAGAATGTTAGTTTAATACAAGTAATATGTGCTTTGTTACAAACACCACTAAGATAAATCTGTCCGAAGTTTTGAATATTTTTTAGAAATATATCTTTTGGCCCACCAAAAAAAGACTTCTGTAATATAGCCTAAAGTTATGATATTTCTGCCTTTGTGTAGATTACGGTCTCATCTACATAAGCACATACAGTTGAAGCATTGCAAACCATGGGTAAATAATTTATAAATAGTGAGAAAAGAAGATTGCTTTGAGTTTAATAAAGGGCAGAATGAACAATAATTCTAATTTGGACTGACACGTTTTCTCTTTTTATACAGAAGAGCATACTGTGCCATTATCCTCTAATAAGGTGTGTGTAAAGAAGAACCCCGTGTGATGGTTCATGTCATACATAATATCCTTAACAGTAATTCTCCATAGGAATTCAGCTAAATCTTGGCTTAATATGACATATTTAGCTTACAGCTCTGAAACTTTCACTAAATGAACTCTGTACATTTATCAAGAATCAAGCAGCGCTCTTCAATTTCTATGAGTGGTGAAACTGCTAATGCACAGCATATATAATGTTATTCTTGTAAAGTACCTGCTTCAAAAAAATTATGAATACATGTTAATCAAAAGCCAACTTTTGTAGTTCGAAACAAGAGACAATGTTTTAGTACTTTAATGAGGAACACCAACTGTCTCAAAGTGCCCTAAAGACTGAATTAGTAATTGCACTGGTACCTATAGCTGTGAACGTTTCATAATGGAGTATAATGACATATTTTGGGGCAAAATATATTCCTAAAAGTTTGTGGTTCAGTAAAAACCATAAAAGCAAAGATTATGATTCATTTTAATCCTTAACCCCTTCGCAATTAATGTTAAACTATTTGAAACATGGAATACATAGCACACTTAAAAATGAAAAACAAATACATATATTTATATAATGTAAGTATATGTAAAGTGTAAAAGGAGTAAAAATAATTTATAGGGAATAAGTGTTATCCCATAGCTGTCTTATCTGTTGTTTGCAGGGTATATCCAAGGTTTGTAAATCTGTTTGTATAATACAATAACATATGTTGGCAGTACTCTTGAGAACAAAATAAAAATGTAGATGCAGAATCAAAGAAAACCACATAACACCTTATTTCACATACGTTTATGATGTTATATTTTGATTAAGTAAACTTATGATTGTATTCAATGACAGTGTAATCTCATAACAGAATGACTTAACATAACTTATACAAGTTGAAATTTCACTTGTACAGAACTTTTATTGCATTTATCTTGCTTTCAACACTTAATTTATAAGTTGATTACACGTGATATACTCACAATTCGCATTATTTATTTTGTCCCCTAATTCTGCAAACAGCAATGTTTTTTCCATTACTAACTGTCATTGAAATGTGACTCACCTGTCCAGTTTTCTGGAGAGCTGTATCACACAATAGATGCAATTGTAGTGTGGGCTGCAGCCTAGTTGGCACAAGTTTCTAAAGACATATGTTTTAAAGTAAAGTATGTGGACAATACAATATGACACTAGGTTTCCATCAAGTACAATGACAGGAGAGCTAAATATGTTCCCTCTTATAACCTGCTCACTGAAGGGTAAATAAAGTATTCACGGTTGTTCGAAGCTGCTTTATGATAGGGCTGAAGGATAAACTCGTCTGAAAAAAGTCAATGCTCAATTATTTTTTTAATCAAGTAATGCAAGAATAAATGATTTTCAACCTTCAATTTAGAAATTAATACCTTATGGTTAATATCACCTTTGTGTTGCTTAATTAATGTGCAACACATCAGACTATAGTTATGGCTGGGTGGCTACCATCTTTTTTTGCAGCTTTTCCACCACTTGTATGGTCCAGTGTTGGCAATTTAAGGAAAAAATGTTCACAATATAGGGATTTATTGCATGCAAGTCATGATAAAACAAACAAATATATAAAAAGTTAATTAAAATTGATACCCTGTGTTTCCTCCACTGATGTGGACATCAGGAATATAATGAAAAAAATATATATAGATACAAACAATGTGAATATGCAACCTAACTCCCCTCCTTCCCAATATCCTTTAAATTGGGCCACTCCCTTAGAGTCATTGGTGGCTCAGTGGGTGTTTCTTCTCTCCTTTATCACTAAGTTTCCTCTCTTTCCAATAATAAATCCCTCCTGGGCTTCCACCTTAACCTTCATCTGATTCTGATTTAGATTTATTTTCAAATCAAATACCAATCATATTCGATTCAAATTAGCTGTCACTGCTTAGATAAAATCCCATTAACACACCAAACTGATTTTATTGCAGTAAGCAAAGGGGTATATTATGTTATTTGTATGCCTATTAGCACATAATTAAGCGATGAGGAGGCACTGATATTTCTGACACATGAAAAAAAACACTTCTAAACACTTTATAGATTATACTTAATGATAAATAATCATGACAACAATGTGGTAATTGAATATTAATAAAATAAATATTTATGAAAATAATAAATAAATATAAAAATAATTATTGATAAATAATAATAAAATGCAACTAGAAATAAAATAATTAAATTTTATATATATTTTATATGAAAATATAGTGAAAAAATGAATTTAAAAAAGAAATGAAGAATTCCAAAATATCTTAATTTTGACATATGTCATGCTTCTCAAGATCTCCCCTCCTCACAAATAAACACTCAAACTATAAAAACCTATCCACAACTTTTACAAACACACCAAGTCTATATCAATATTAAGATGCATTGGTTCCATTGTACCCAGTCTGTGTATCCAATTGTATCCTCCAGCTGGAATGCATTTGTTCTATTCCTATACATCTAAATTCTTTCCAGCAGAAGGAGGGGCACAGACTGCAAAGTGTTTGTCAATACCAGATTTGATGGGGAATATTTTCTCTGTGGTGGCACTTATACATTCCAAAGATCAAAGATGTTGTCAAATTCATTGTTCGTCAAGCCTTGCAATTGCAACATTCCTAAAGCATTTCCTTCCAATGATTTTGTTAACCACATTGAAAATAAGTGGGTGCTAACAAGCTTTTCATTCCAAGGTGCAAAATCTTACATTTTTCTGTAAGTTTATTTATGTCTTTGTAGCTGCTTAGCTGAATCACAATTTAATGAAACTCAGTTTTATCAAACTCGTAAGGTGAGTTGACCTTCCCAGGAATCAGTCAACTAATTCAAGGTTATCAGTATGACAGCCACTAGAGGCAGTTTAACCCTGCAAAGAAAACATTTCCATTTCTGGAAAACAATACGTTTCCAGCAGCAGGGTTAACCCCTTAGTGACCAGACCACTTTTCAATTTTCTTACCGTTTGGGACAGCGGGGTTTGGGTTTAGCTGTAATTTTCTTCTTACTCTTACTCATTTACTGTACCTCGACTCCTCGACTCTTTCAGGCACTCAGCACAGGCAGAGCACCGGAAGCCGGGTTGCTCTGCCGGGCTCCATGTGGAGCAACCCTGAAGTGATCACTCCAGGGGGAGCGATCACTCGGGAGCCTAGCAGTCGGGGGGGTATTACATGATGCCTCGACATCGAGGCATCACTGCAATACTGCTAGAGTGGCTGGAAACGATCATGATCGATTCCAGTTCTATAATTAGCCGCAGACGTATCAGGTACGTCCGCGGTCTTTAAGGACCATTTTTTTGTCGGACCTACCTGATACGTCCTTGGTCAGGAAGGGGCTAAAAGAGGATAGGGCATTACACCCAGACCACTTTATTGAGATGAAGTGATCTGGATGCATATCATGTTCCTTTCAGCTAAAGTTGTTTTTGTATATAGTATCTCTTTAAATTTGTAATTCACTTTGAAATCTCACTTTAGTAAATGACCCTGTAAGACTACTCCTTATATTTTTTAAATGATTTTCATATTACATGATGCTCAGATTCTAACACACTGCAGAGCATACTGTTATTTCATGTCTAAAACTGTGTTCCACATGCTCATAATACAACCAAGTCATTACATTGTAAACATGCAGATCAACCATTTTGTTTCTTTTATTTAATTGGTATCTAATGTCATCCCATAACAAATTTTGGCAATTTTCAATATGTACAACATAATACAATTATACTATCAGTTTACTGATTATATATGTATTTTATTGTATGCTCTATGGTTTGTTTTATTCCCACAATCATTTTTAATTTCCAAATACTAAAACTGCAGATGTCCTGTGTGATATGGATATTCACAAGTTTTTTTATGGCAATAAAATTAATTCACTGTTTAAATAATATAGGGATTGAAACAGATGCTGTGTTTGTTTGGATCCATGCAAAACCTTGAACATCAAAAATCTATTATAAACATTGAATTTAAAGTTCAAGGGAAGATGTCAAGGGTGCAGTATTACAAGATATGGGCTTCAGATGGATAGAAATGGACCTAGAAACAGGTAGATATCAACCACAGTTGTGTTTCTTTTGCTGGATAAATGCATCTGGACTTCATTATTTGTAGAGGGACTCCAAGATAATACACTGGGACTATGGACCTTTAGATTGAATGTCAGAAGCTGAGATGCAAATTATGTGCATCTTTTAAAGAGACACTCCTCCATCCTAGACTGGCTGTCCAATTACAGACTTCCAAATGCAGCTCAATGAGAAGTCCTTGCAAAGCATGTGCACTGAGCAATTGCCTGCCTCTTGAGTTTAGCTCCACTGAGCTAACCAAGCCATGAATTAACAGTCACTAGTGGTGTATTTAGCCCTCCAATGTAAGCATTGCCATATAAGCATTGACAAATCGCAAAGTATGTGGGGGTGCCTTGTAGTCAAGATGACCGGACATGCTTTTCCACAGAGCCGACTCATACACACACAAACCAAGCTTTTCCCATTGGAACCCACATTGGAAATGGATCTGTCGGACTGGTGGATGTGCCTGCAACCGAGTGGGACACCGTATATACCCGACTTGCACAGCTGCACCAGGTGATCTAAAAGTCCTGCCATGAGGTCTAGTACTCCAGGCAGATTATTGCTTTGGGGAGGCAGCCAATCTCTCAACAAGAGCCATGCTTTCTCCAAAGTCACTACTTTAGCCCCGCAATCTCCTGCCCCCTTTTGGACGGATGGGGGATATCCTTGTCCAAACTGGAAATACTCAGCTCTTTACCACAGAGGAATCTACTGCAAACAAAAAGGTGTGCCTGAGCTGACTACCACACTACAACCTCCACAAACCCTAGGAAATCACGGGAATCTTACTGCCTGCACAAATGAGAAAACTGGTGTCAATGCTAAGATGTTTGCGTTATTTGCAGACTTCTAAAGCAAAATGCCACACTTTTTTGGAGGAACCCACTACATGGCAGGACATGATAGCCCACTTCAGAGCATCATTAATGTGCACAGCATGGTGATCACATTGGAGATTCAACACAGATATAACAAGCTTCATGAACTCACCTCTCCAGCCATATCTCAGCTCCACATTCAAGCGGAGACCATCATTTCTTTCCCACATATCCAGAGGAGTTCCCAGGAATCAGGCCTCACATGGGCCTAAAATCTTTCCACTAGTAGGGGGGATTCGTGGATACAGGGAAAGGGCATAAAGATCTGTGTGGCTGAAGCAACATGACTCCAGACCAACTCATTTCCGGAAAGTCAGATATTTTTTACTCAGTCCCATAGGTGCAAAGTGTTACCTGGTTTTTGACACAGTGATGTACTCTCTCTCATGGCCTACTTGTGGTGTAGGCTGATGCTATTACCATAACATAGTATCTAACATGGCAGACCTTAGCTACACCTTCTGTTTTTTATACTGATACTCAGCGATATATATTTCATATGTTTGGCATGATATTTACTCTTTCAACCATAATGCAAGTTAGTCTGGTTAGCATTAATAATTGTTATAGCCTTGCACTCTGATGTCATATGAATGTCTTGTATTCATTAGCAGGCACTTACGACACGTGTTAATGTATTGCCATTCATTCACACTGTTTGTTATTTTTCTGTTTAGTTATTTTTTATGAAAATTTAACATGTGTTACTGTATGCATTCTCCTGCAATACTCTCATTCATGTGAGCAAAAATATCACTCATACTCCCAGGAAGAAATAATTGTTTTGTATTAGTAATAATACACAACTCACCTGAGCAGTCTGTAAGCAGGTTTTTTTTTTTTTTTATTATGCACATGCCTTTATTACAAGTAAGGAAAATAAATAAATATTATTTTTTCCACTTTTACAGTTGAGCAATGGCCTAGCTGGTTGTAGGCTGGATTGGCCTGTCTCTTCATTCCCAGCCTATGGTGAGGTGTTCTAACACTTTCGGTTTCTTAGTATCCCACTTTAGGCATTATGTTATGTAATCCTCCTGTGAAACAAAAGTAGCATCCTTAACTTGCCACCCTCAGGTCTTTTTTGTTTTGTTGTGACATAAGCATGTTGTCATAAGTTCATGCAGATGTTCTTCTACCTTTGCCCAGCTAAACTGTTCTGTTGTCACCTGGCTACATAACTAAGTTACCCATTTTTATAGGTTGGTTTGTGTCATTTAGTACAATGCTTTTAACAATGCTTTTAACTGATGCAGTTATATTCTTATACTCTTACTCACTTATGATTACTGTCATCTAAGACAGTGCACCTCAACCCTCTCCTCAAGGCACATCCAATAGTCCAGGACTTAGGGATTATCCAGTGTCTAAGGTTTTTAGAAAAAGAAAAAAAAACACCTTAGAGTCTAAAGTGTTCTTAGTTTTTTTTTTTAAACAACCTTGAAATATATGGGTAATTCCTAAATCCTGGACTGTTAGGTGTGCCTCGAGGAGGGAGTTGAGGAGCACTGATCAAGGACATTTAGATGAAGTGGTCATGTCATGTCAAAGAACTTGGACTAAATACCCAAAAAACAAAACCAATACAGTATATATTATATAAATATTTGTACATTCACCTTTATAGAATTAAGGTATTTTGGTTCAGTACACTCAAACAAAGAAAATATATAGAGTGCAACATATCAATCTGAAAAGGCTTCTTATATATGTTTCAGCATTGCGTATTTTGAAGCACGAACAAGAGGGGTCAGAACTGTGAGAAAGGAGTGAGAGAAGTAAGAAAAAGGATGCATGGTGACATTGCAAAATATGCCACTGGTGATTTATCATGGGCATGTTAGCCATGCAATCAAGAATCCCCATGCAGAAAGCACTTCCTGCAATGGCCTCATGAAGACATGAAGAAGGTTGTTTTTGTGAACCCAGA